CTCCTCAAGAACTGAAGAAGCCTCTTGGATGAGAATCAAAACATTTTCAAAGGAAAAAAAACCCAAGAAAGTCCAGTTGCCTTTTGGGAAAGCATCTTTGGGACAACCATGACTTGGATGACTGAGAATCTCCATAGATGTATCAGCATATAGATACTGGATACTGGTTGGACCAATAGGCTAACAATACAATTTGAGCCAGATGTGATTTATACTGGCTTTGACTGAAACAGGGAACCCAGAATGAGCCCTGTGAGGAAATGAGATGTGAAAATAGCACAGAATGTCCAGAACAACCTGAGTGAATTAGATCTAAGGGATAGAATGAGGTACTTTGAATACCTGCTAGGAGACAACTGCAATAAGGTAAGCAGAAAACTAAAGAGGTTGCACCAATAAAGCTGCCCTCATCTGGGTCAAAACTCTGGACCCCAGGAATATTCAGCAAATGAAAGTCAGTGACCTTTGCTATAAGGTTGGTGACAAAGTTCTCTGATTCTCAATCCTAACTTCGGGGCTGTCAGTGTAGGAAATTGGGGTTATCTGGGAACCCCTTAGAAAAATTAAGGGAAAAGCACAATAGAGGAAAAGGTGATCAGCCAAAACATAATCGACACCCTTTTGTGGTCATTCCCTAAAATTAAAACTGATTGTTTCCAAGCACAATTGTCTTGGAATCGCTTTAGCAAGATTTATTTAAAAAAAAAAATAGAAGGAATTTACAAAATTCCAGCAATTTGAATATTTCCCTTGAGAATCAATAGTTGGAATATTTCCCACTTAGAACCAATTATATCTCTCTGCATTAGGGTGGAGACTTTTTTTATTATTTTCTAACAGTCTTCCTGTGAACTTGTTTTTCTTCTAAAAAAAAAAAAAGGCAGTTTTTTTCTTCTAAAAATAACAAGCTTGCCCCTGGCTGTTTATGTAGCGATTTTCTGAATCTTCATCAGTCAAAGAACCAATTCTTACATCCATGCTCAAAGTGAAACAATGGGGAGACATCCAAGATGAAATACTAACATGACATTCTGGTTGATGTCGGCCTCGTGGGATGAACTAGATCGGAATCACAAGTTAAGCTAATTCTACTTTATTGTAGAGTTACATTGACAGAGTCTTGCAAGTCTAAAAGTACAAACACAGACCATCTCCTTTACAGCTGAGTAAACTAAGGAGGGTGTAATTCTGACCCCTCCTGTTATCCAATTGTGAGCTAAGCTCTCTCTTATCAGAGTACCCTCTTGGCACGATCTTTTTGCCCAATGTACAGAGATCTTTCCCATGTGCCATTGCAGGAACTCGCTCAAGGATTTTAAATAAGAAAAGAGGAAACAGAGACACAAATCAATGACTTAATCACAAAAAGGATGCAAGCAGGGGTCCTTTAACAAAGGATAAAGAACAGCATGCTTACAAGAATCTGGAAAACTGTGGTTAAAAACAGTTCACCAAGTGAGTAATCTAGAACACAAAAAGAGAGGGAAGAGTTGGGCAGAAAGATAGGGATCAGCAGGGGAAGTAGTTTAAATAATAACAGTACTATAAGGAATGTAAGGACAGTCCTCCATAATTTGTCAAACTTGTCTTGTGAAAAAAGAATAAATTAAAATGCAGGAGGGAGTAGACAATTAAAAAAGAGAGTGGAGAATTGTTCCTGGAAAGGAAGGAGACAGAAAGTATTTGCCAGTTGATTTGTGGAAAAAATGCTGAGAAAAGTCAAGTTATAGCATATTTCCTCATTCAAAACTAAATGGTAATAATACTAATACTAATAATACTAATACTAACACTAACACTAACAACAACAACAACAATAATAATAGAGTTGGAAGGGACCTTTGAGGTCTTCTAGTCCAACCCCCTGCTCAGGCAGGAAGCCCTATACCATTTCAGACAAATGGCTGTCCAGTCTCTTCTTAAAAACTTCCAGTGTTGGAGCATTCACAACTTCTGGAGGCAGGTTGTTCCACTGATTAATTGTTCTAACTGTTAGGAAGTTTCTCCTTAGTTCTAGGTTGCTTCTCTTCTTGATCAGTTTCCACCCGTTGCTTCTTGTCCTGTCTTCAGGCACTTTGGAAAATAGCTTGACTCCCTCTTCTTTGTGGCAGCCCCTGAGATATTGGAATACTGCTATCATGTCCCCCCTCGTCCTTCTCTTCGTTAAACTAGACATACCCAATTCTAGCAACCGTTCCTTATATGTTTTAGCCTCCAGTCCCCTAATCATCTTTGTTTCTCTTCTCTGTACTCTGTCTAGAGTCTCAACATCTTTTTTACATCGTGGTGACCAAAACTGGATGCAGTATTCCAAGTGTGGCCTTACCAAGGCATTGTAAAGTGGTATTAACACTTCACGTGAACTTGACTCTATCCCTCTGTTAATGCAGCCTAGCACTGTGTTGGATTTTTTGGCAGCTGCAGCACCAAGGTGGAAAGGTAGCTGCTGCTTGACCTGAGACAGAATAATAACTGAAAGAAAACTTCCCCCTTTTAGAGGTCATACAGAGAGCTTCAATGCATGACCACAATTGGAATCCGAAATTCCATTGCGAAGCAAGGCAGTTGTTAAGTGAGTCTTGCCTGATTTCGCGACCATTTTCACCATGGTTATTAAGTGAATTATGCAGTCATTAAAAGATCCAGGTTCCCCCGTTAACTTTGCTTGTTGGAAGATGGCTGGGAAGATGGTCACGAATGGGAAGATACATGGACCTGAGATGCTTGCAAATACATAGCGAATACAGGCTGGTTGCCCAGTGTCTGAATTTTGATCATGTGACCGTGGGGATACTATGTTGGTTGTAATTGCAAAGACTGGTCATAAAGTCACTTTTTTCAGTACTGCTGTAACTTCAAATAGCTGTTAAACCAAGGGTGTCAAACTGCCAGCCCACAGGCCGGATGTGTCATGCCAAAACTGCGCCCACCCCATTGCCAGCAATGGAAAAAAAGTCACGAGACATCACTACACATCACGTGATGTTGCGAGTTTGACATCTCTGTGTTAAACAAATCATCGTAAGTCAAGGACTTACAAAGATTTTTACTTGTTAATTTGAGCCAGTATTGGAAGCAGGTGTACTAAGGTCATTGTCGTCATAATGTTTCAAAGGTACGACAGTAAACCAGTGTTTCTCCATGTTGGCAACTTTAAGATGTGTGGACTTCAACTCAACATGTGAGCTGGAGAATTCTGGGAGTTGAAAGTCCACACATCTTAAAGCTGCCAAGGTGGAGAAACACTGCATTAAACTACTGGATCACTAAAAATTGAAAGGGGGTTGACTTCTTTTGTAAGTGCTAAGAAACATGTTGTCAGAGAAGATGGGGTGAAGTGAGCATCTGGACATGGAGGGAAACAAGTGGGATCGAGGTAGAATTTGATACAAATAGAATTAGTGGTTCTCTCCTCACAGCCTCCAGGCAAAGCTAAACCTTCATCCCTGGTGACCTATGTAAGTTTTCTTGGCAAAAATATAGAAATTATTCACCATTTCCTTCTTCCATTTTTTTTAACTTTCTAGACTAGATTCCACCTCTGATTCTTCATAAAAGTCATAGAACTGACCAAATCTGAACCTGGTTATCTTTTCTATTTTAACCCCAAATAAGGACAACAGGTTGAGCAGTGGTGAAGATGCTTGCCTCCCACTCAGAAGGTTGAGAGTACAATCCTAGGTAGGAGCAGAGGTTTCTTTTCTAGGGTGCAAAGAAAAAAAAACCTGCTGTGAACTCCACATTGGTATCAGGAAGGGCATCTGGTCAGTAAATGCTCAGCTCTCTAGACATTCTGATTCTACCCTGAATAGGGACTACAGGGTCGTAAAAAGAAAGTTAAGGACAACATGTTAACTAGGCTGATGTTAAAACCTGCAGCAGAACTGATCAATCCCTGCTCACCAGCTGTTTTGTCTGCATTTAGGTTTTAATTGAAATGTCATTGGAAAAAAATGTGTGCATTGCGTTCCCATTTGACTTCAGCCTTCCTTCCCTCCTGCTCAACCCATTTGCGTACTATCCATCTCATTGGCAACCAAGGATCATACTCCATACATCTGATGAAGTGAGCTCAAGCCCAAGGAAGTTCACACCATAACAAACCCATTTGTCTTGAAGTGGTCACCCAAAGTACTATTATTTCAATATCATTATCCGTATACTCTGATACAGATTTGGAAAGTCAACTAAGATAAATGGGATTAAAAGACATCATGCTGTTATGCTTATTACACTAAAGAACTAAGTCTTAGAGTTATGGTTGTGTTACAGAGGCAGATTTTGAACATTAATATAATATCAATATTATTGTGCTAAGGAGTTAGAAGTCACACTAAGGGAAACATGGGATTCAAAGAATTCTGAATGTCCATATGATGGTGAGTGATGGTGGCACTGATTTTTAGGTCTTTGAAACCAAATGACAAGATATAAGATTGATAGAAATAAGAACGTTGATAGAATACAAATGTTGTCGTCATCATCATGATTGTGTTGCATGCTAACTCTGCCCACTGCCAGGAGTTCGATCCTGACAGGCTCTTGGTTGACTCAGATTTCCATCCTTCTGAGATCAGTAAAATGAGGACCCAAATTGTTGAGGGGAATACGCTGACCCTGTAAACCACTTAGAGAGGGCTGTAAAGCACTGTGAAATGGCAAATAAGTCTAAGTGTTATTGCTATCATCATCATCACCACCACCACCACCACCACCACCACCACCACGTTGGCTTCCTCTCTTCCATTACCCCATTCTTCCATTCCCCCGGAATAGAAGACTGCTGAAGGAAAGATCTGAAGCCCTTCTATGAAACAAAGTAGGTGGCTGATGACAGCAGGCGCAGAAAGGGTTAACCGGGACCCCAACCTCCGGGAACCACGAGGATCTGCCTCCTCCTCCTCCTCGCGTGCCGAGTTTTGTCGTGGGCGAGACGAATCGGGAGGAGTTGGAGGGCTTGCCGAATCGAGGCAGGATTTGTCTCCCACCGGCCCCATTTTATCGGCTGCCAGGGCGCTCGGCCGGCCGACTGCGTGGCTGACCCGCGAAGCCCCCCCCCCAAATTGCTGCGATCTTCCCCCGCTCTGCATCTTCACCTCTAGCTCCCTCTGTTTCTCCCCCCCCCGTGACGAGGGGAGGCGGGCGGGGCCCTCGGCCATGGCCACCTGCTGCGCGGATTGGCCGGCCAGCTCCACGCACGTCCGGGACCAACCGGGCGCTCGGGGGGCAGCCGGGCGCACCTGAAGCGAACGGTCCCGCCGTCACCCTCCACCCCACCTTCCCACGCAGCCAGCCGGCCGGTCGGGCGCTCGTACGCTTCCTCGAAGGGGCTTTATGCGGAGGCTCCCGGGATCCTTGGAGGCCGGCGGGGGCTCCTCTGTCTCTGCTTCGGGTGAGAGGTCGGGGAGGAGGAGGAGGCAGGATCTGGCCAGCAGCTGCCCCCTAACGGTCTCGGCAGCCCCGGCGGCGAGGAGGAAGGCGCGAAGATCTGCCGCTGAGGAGCGGCGGCGGCGTCCGGGGAGGCAGACCTGTAGGAGCAGCAGAGCCGCCTGCCTGGAAGGTGAGCCCCGCCGATCCGCCGCCCTCGCCCCGCTGGCGAGAGACCTTCTCCCGCGAGGAACTGCCCGCCAAAACCCGCGGGAGGGGGAAGGGGAGGGAGGGGGCGCGGGTCCTCTCCGACGTGCCCAAAAGGAGGCGCGGCGCCGGGAGATGACCCCGCTCGTGGGGAGAGGAGAGGAGTGGAGGAGGAGGAGGAGGAGGAAGGGGGCAGGTTGGCCCTGACTTTAGGGCAAGGCAGCCGTCCGGGCTGGTTCGGACACCTGGCGCGGGAGGAAGGTTCACCTCGACCGATCGGAGACCTGTTGGTGCCCGAAGCCGCCGGTTCGAGGGAAAGGGGGCTGCTGGAGTTGACCGAACGCCAACCAGTCGGGGAGGTCTGTGCTTAAGTTTTCATCTCTTAATGTTCGTGTGTGTGTGTGTGTGTGTGTGTGGCGGTGCAGGGTGTGTGTTGTGTGGTGCCAGTTTGAAGCGGCACCGTTTCCAAGCGGGCTGTGACATTCAGGCTCGGGAACGCTCCCCCCCCCCCCGGCGAAGCAGTTACCGGTGGTCGTGAGAATTTGCTATAGGAGTCACAAAAAGGGGAAAATATTTACACGGGATAGCAGCTTGCCACCCTCTCTTGGAAACGCTTGACTTTTAGATATAAAAAGAGGCAAATCTTTCTTCTAGATCTCATGCCATCAAAGATCCCCCAGCCTGGTGATCCTCTCACATTTTGGACTGCAGTGCCCATCATTCTCAACTGGGGTAATGGGTGTTGTTAACATCAGAGAAATCTCCAGCTGGGGAAGGTAGATTTATTCCCAATCTCCTCTTTTCTCCTCTTCTCCTCTTCCCCCTGCTCTGATTTCTGTGTTGTGCTTCTCTCCATCCTTCTCAAGGTGTTTGTGTGTGTATGCATGCATAATTGTTAACACTTGAGCAAGCCGTGCCCTAGGCAGGTGGCAAAAATGGAAGGGGATGGAGAAATGTGTGTCAGGTCTTGAGGGGGGGAAAAAAGGCTTCTGCTTCCTCCCACAGCTACAACTGATGGAGAGCTGAAAGGTTGCTGGAGGGAGCCAGTTTCTTTGCTTCAATGAAGCCGGGCTTGACAGTGTACCCAAATAGGTGGTTGTTTTCCAAAAATAATTACAAAGTTGCTAAGCATCTGGTAGGACAGTCTCTTTACCAAGGGCAGGAGAAAAGAGAAGTGTGACTAGCATAGAGGTGAGTGGAAAAATAGGGTACACTTAAGTCAGGTCTGCACACTGGCCCCGTGTTGCTTGCTTTCTTATTTTTCTTGCATTTCTTTTTATTTAATAGCTGTTTGCTGTGGGATTTTTGTGTACATGTGGATTGTATGCATTTACTCTGTAGTATTTGTACACAAGAGGTGGTGGTGGCTTTAGGCATAAGGGTTCTGCCTTTTCTTTTTTGCTTGCTGCAACCTTGAGATCTCTCCATCCAGAAACCAGTAAAAACTATGACATGTTGCTAGACTGATCCATTGCAGATCTTTGATCATTAACAGACTTAACAAACAGATCCACTACTGAAGTGGATCCCATTCCAACCGCTTTCATACATACAGCTCCTGGTTGCTCCCCCCCCCGCGCGACCTGCCATCTTTTATCTTTCAGAGATGGATATGTCTTTTGGTTGGATTAATCTTTATTGTGGCTTTTATTGTTAAGCACTTGATAATTCACCCCAATTTCTGTCCACCCTGGTTTGCTGGGCTAACATTTGAAGTATAACATTATGCAAAGAGATGGTTGTTCCAGTTCTATTTTTTTTTTTTTTTTAAAGAGGAAGGGCTGCCTCTCACTTCACATAGGAATCTCCGAATCTTCCCTACCCCTTCAGTTACACTCTGGGTTCATCTTGGTTTCACCCTTAGGATTGGATTACCAGGGAAAACACCAAGTGCATCCTGGAAGCCCTCCAAATGCAAGGCTCTGATGCCATGGTTGATGTCCTTCCAGAGAAGAATGGACAATTGAGGGGAGGAGGAAGAGGAGAGTTGGAGAAAAACAAGCAATAAGTGGTGTAATATGAAGGCGTCTTATCCAGGATCTGACAGATGGATGCACTGAAGTGACTGGTTGCAACAGCTCTCCAGAAACTTCAGATGTTTCTCAGTCTAATTGCTCTACGCTGGCATTAGTGAGGTTTCAATTTTCTATGGAGATGTGACTTCTGCTGTTCATTCCTCCCCACCACTAGATGTGTGGATGGATCTACATCTCTTCCTTAAGGGAAGTTAAACTTGAATTATCCTTGGGTAATGTTGTGGTATATGTAGATGGTGAACATCAGGTCCCAGAGGCAAGCTGTCTTTTTGTTGCGCTGAGCCATCTGTTGTTCCTTTGCAAGGTCTCAAGAAGTGACCTATCCTAGGTTAGTAACTGATATCCTTATTAGGATAGATGTGTGTAATTTGGGGACTAGCACACCATAAATGTAGAACATGCTTCTAATATCTGTGCCCTGGCCTTCTGATCTTTGAACTTCTGCAGAGATGCGTTGGCAGATGTTTATTTTATGGATAGGATGTGTCATAAGATGGTTGGATGCCAACATGCACAGTACCTAACTCCCATTCATTTCGGGATTTGGAGAAGCAGCAAATGTTTGCAGCAAATGGACGGGGAGGGGAAAGGAATTGCAATCTGCCATAATTCGTACCCAGAGCTAGACATAAAATATTCTAAAAAGCCTCACCATGCAAGGTGATTTGGTAGAGAAATGGGAAATCCTGAGCTGTTATCTTAATGCTTTAATTTTGATGGAACATTTATTTTTCTCCTTGAGCAAATACTTGAAATCTGTATTGCACATTATCCGAGCCGTCCTTCCTTCAGTCCATCATCCTAAATTTGGGGTATAGTCTCTTCCACTCTGCTTAATTCCCAAATAAACAGTTTGGGAACCAGATATTTTCATTAAGTTGCATGCCTTACCATTATACTTGGGACCATTTTTGTTTAATATCTAGAAAGATTCAGTAAAATCCACATACACTTGACAATCTGGGATAAGGCTAAAACTGACCAGTGGTGTAATCCATTGGATTGGGTCTCAAGAGAGAAAGGTTGAAATCCACTTTTAGTCATGGAAAACTCATTGATCAGAGAACCAACCTAGAAATAAGGACAAATTTCTTCACAGTTAGAACAATCAATCAGTGGAATGACTTGCCTCCAGAAGTTATGGGTGCACCATCACTGGAGGTTTTCAAGAAGAGATTGGCCAGTCATTTGTCTGAAATGGTACAGGGTCTCCTGCTTGAGCAGAGGTTTAGATGAGAAGACCTCCAAGGTCCCTTCCAACTCCATTATTCTGTTATCAACCAGTTTCCCAGTCAACTTCACAGGACTGTTGTGGGGAAAAATTGGAGAAGAGATCTATGCCAGCTGCCCTGAACTCTTGCACCTTGCATGGTTTTGTGCAAGCTTAGATTCATGCATCTGAATCTAATGTCACCTGTCTTGAAAGAGCTGAATTGGTTGCCTGTTTTTTTGGGGGGGAGGGGGGAGGTTCCAGCAATCAGGTGCTGGTCATCTCTTTTAAAACCCTACATGGCTTGGTTATCTGAAAGACTCTTTTTTCCCAGTTACTAACTAATCCACTAGATCAGGAGTCCTCAACCTTGGCAACTTTAAGACTTGTGGACTTCAACTCCCAGAATTCCTCAGTCAGCTTTGCTGGCTGAGGAATTCTGGGAGTTGAAGTCCACAAGTCTTAAAGTTGCCAAGGTTGAGGACCCCTGCACTAGATCAAGGAGGCAGGTATGTTATGAATCTTCCTCTCCTACCCTGTTAAGGAGGTCCATGTAGTGGGATCAAGAAGATCTTTTCCATGGTGGCTCCCTTTCTGTGGAACATCATCCCCATGGAGATAAGACCCACCTTGATACTCTTTTGTAAGGCCCCAAAGACCTGGTTTGGCCAGGGGGCATGAGAATCCCAGGTTGACACAGAGCCTAGCAAATGCTTTGTCTGAATGTTGCCCCAAAAGAAGTAGAAGTGTATTGGCTTTTGCATTTGAGGACTTATCTTTATAAGTTGTCTGGAGTCCTTGCGAGTGAGTTGGATTGCCACATTAATAAATAAATAATGTAGAATACGCATGTAAAAATGGTGTGATGTACTCATCTGGGAGTGGGGAGACTTGTCTTCAAAGTCCATATTCTGTTGTAAAATTCATTGGTTGGGTTCACATAAACCACAAATTCAAATACAGGTAGTCTGCAAATGTTCTGTTTAGTGACCATTCAAAGCTACAACGGCACTGAAAAAAGTGACTTATGGTCATTTTTCACACTTACAACCATTGCAGCATCCCCATGGTCATGTGATCAAAACATTGCTTGACAGATGGTCACAGTAAGTGATTACATGGCCCCAGGATGCTGCAATGGTCATAAATATGGCAACTGACTCATGTTTATGACCATTGCAGCGTCCTGGGGTTCATGTAATCACTTGTTGCAACCTTCTGACAAGCAAAGTCAATGAGGAAGCAGATTCACTTAAGAACCATGTCACTAACTTAACAACTGCAGTGATTCACTTAACAACTGTGGCTAGAAAGGTCATAGATGGGGCAAAACTCACTGAGCAAATGTCTCATTCAGCCACAGAAATTTGGGGCTCAATTGTGGTCATAAGTCAAGGACTACCTGTCAACTTACAATCACAATTGGGACCAGAATTTCCATTGCTAAACAAGGCAGCTGTTCAGTGAGTTGCGTCCAAGTTTACAATCTTTTCTGTCACGTTGTTAAGGGAATCATTGCATTGTTAAGTTAATCACATGGTGATTAAGTAAATCCAGCTTACTTATTATGTTCTGTGACTATGAAAATCTACCTCCTCTTTTACATGCACTGTGGATTTTTTTTTGTGACCCACACCACCACCCATAACTTCAGAGACCTCAGATGCTGTCCTGGCTGGACAGTGACCCCCCTCAGAATAGCTTGATTGGTTTTCCTACACCCACATTGCAGCGGGCTGG